GGAAATACAGCCATGTGGTTTGTTTCCTCCCAACAGTGACTGCATTTATTATATTTTTCCTTGTGGCATTTGCATTACTCAGTTAGGGATCAGCAGAACTGGCAACCCAGAACTTCTAAGAATTACTATCTGTTTACCACAATCTCCATATTCAAAGAATCAGTAGCATGTTTTGTTTTTAAAATGTGCATTTTCTTTTTATGACTTTGCCTTAAACTGGAAAACCCCATAACTTTAAAACCACAGACAATAGTTCTGACGAGGAACACAGGGCAGCTGACAGGTACCTGGAGAGCTGATGTCAAACATTTATTTTGCCACATGGTCAAAAATCATTCTATCCCATCCGTCCATTTACTGACCCATCTATTCAAGCAGATTAGCTGGCTGCAGACCAATATTCATAACAATACCTTTTAGTATTAAAAAATACCTCAACATAGAGTAAGGATGGATAGCCCACAGACAAGTCAAAGGAGTAAGAAAAACACAGCTCTAAGCCATTTTGCAGAACAATTCTGTGGGTCAATGTGAACAATTATTAAACCCAGATAGTAGTGACAGATGGCATTTAAACACTCTGGCTCTTTGTCAACCATCTGCCCTAAGACTTTCTGTAATGAGTTCATATTTCCTAGGTATTCAGTTTTTGAATAGAAGGCATGTACTTCTTAATGGTATTAGAGAGAACTGGTCAACCTTTCTAATATAGGACAGACTGGAAATCAAAGCTCTTAAACATGTGACTTGCTCCTTGGTTTCTCTGGAGTACCACTGGGGATACAATGCATAAAATATTCCAGAAACAACAAATGACAAATAATAGCATGAGAAGAAATATAGCAGAGTACAAAAATCTCTGGAATCTGGTACACCTGGGCCCAAAGCTGGTTTTCAAGCTTAACAGTTTTGTGCTCCTGAAGCAGTCCTTTGCCTTTCTTGTGCGACAGCTGCAAACCCTGGAGAGCAGTTCTCAGAGGTGGGTTTGATGAGATAAAGCATGTGCGTGTGTGTGTGTGTGTGTGGGAAGCCCAGTACCACACCAGGTGCTAATTCCCTTTGCTTCTTTTCTTTTCTTTTCCCTACGTTATAGAGGAAGATGATACCAAAATCCAAAGCAAACCTTACTCTTCAAAGATTTTAAGTAGAAAGTGATCTCTAAAGAACGTTAATGTTGACTTCTATTCTTCTACCAAAAAAATCTTCATTCCTGAGAATGGTCTTACCATCAGGCTCACCCTCAGTACCCCACACTTCCTCACCACACTCACTGTGGATGTAAATGCCTTGCTTTCTACCAACCCTCAGATGGGAGTCTTGAATACAGTAGTAACTCTGTAAGTTCTTTACAGACCTAAGGAAACACCCTGTTATAGGGTTTCTAACATGTGATATATACTGCTGGGATGATGTGACCAACATTTCTTAATACTTTTAATGTTTATATTCTAATGTGCATTAGGCAAATATATAACTGCCTCAAGCAAATTCCAGATTTTACATACTTGTGTTTAAAGTGAGGCTAAATAAAATAAGTAAATTGATTCACTACGATAAATAAATGAAGTCAATAATAATGTAATTGCTGTAAGAATATAGCAAAGACAATGAAGGAGATAAAAAGATGACAGAATTTGGATATTACTCCCTTAGCATCAAGTAGAAACCCAAAGCAGATTCACAGGATTCTCTAATCTAGAATTAGACTACAGTAGGCCATGTGTAGTGGTGCAGACCTGTAATCCCAGCCCGTGTGTGTGTGTGTGTGTGTGTGTGTGTGTGTGTGTGTCTGAGGCAGGAGAACTGCCAAGGGTTCAAGGCCACCCTGGGCTACATCGTGAGTTCAAGACCAGGCTGAACTGCATAGTGAGGCCTTGTCTCAAAAAGCCAAAAGCCAACCAAACAAACAAAATGATTATCCGATAGTAACGGAGAGTCTGCTCTGAATCTATGGTTTATTAACTTCTTGGCTTAGTCTTAGCCAACACTGAATCAGAAGCTGGATCTAAGTAAAGCTTGGTGTTGGGACTGCAGGACACAATAGGCATAAATAAGAAGCATGCTGTGTTAGGGTTTGGGTTGGGGTTGGGGTTGGGGTTAGGGGAAAAAAAAAAGAAAGGAAGGAAGCATGCTATATCCAAGTATCTGGGTGGTACCACAGGAGATGCCAGACATGAACTAAGTCAGAACAAAAGTCAGATCCCATGGTCACGTTCAAGATCACAGCCACACCATGAACTACCTGGCAAGGCTGTATGGTTCACTTGGACTTGCTTTGTTTCAGTCTTCAAGCACATGGTCATGTTTCTGATATTGCTTCCTCCTCCACACAATTATTTCTCCATTTACTACCTTTGTACAAAACTCCAGAAGAAAGAGTATGTTCTTATGTGTTCATTTTAAGAGGCAGTGGGTCTACCCAACGTTTCATTTTTTCCTGAAAGCAAAGCAAAATATTGCCACTGTAATCAAAGGAATCTTCCTTGAGCCCCTAACAAATGAGTGCCCCTTCTCAGTTCCATTGCGGGGTTGCTGGGAAAAAAGGGTTTCCATAAGTTAGCTAAAAGTAGGGTTTCCATAAGTTAGTTAGCACAATTGGTATTTCAAATTTGTTCCAGCGTATGTAGGACTCTGTAAGACGGGCTGGGAACCTGATTACCGATGACAGTATCACTTCAGTGGACAACAGCTTTTAATGCTTGGAAATAAAATCTGAGATTGTAAATGTATATAAATTCCATAAGTAGGAGACTGTCTATACTTAAAAATACAGCAAGTTCCTTACCAGTAAATTAATGAATATATCTTTTTTCTTTCTTTCTACCCTAAATTTCATCCCTTTTTAAGTATTTTAAAGAAAAAAAGGTATAAAATTTCAAAGCAAGAAAATAGGAGGGCAATAACAGTTAATACATGCACATTGTTATCCTTAAATTAGTTACTCAGAGTACAAGACACTGGCATTTAACTGTATTAAAGAATATTAGCACAAATCATTCTTTTCAATCAACTAAGAGAAATCAGTAACTATTTTAAGTATCTCATATACATTAAACATTTATAAGTTTAAATGTTTTATTTTATTGTTAAAAATTTAAAAAAAAACTTGGGTTTTATCAATTCTGGCTAACATTTAAATCTGTGTTATTGAAAACTGACTACCCTCTCTCCATACCAAAAGATAGGCTCTATCTTTACACTGTGGACAACTCTAGATACTTGCATGCAATTCTAATAAGCATTTCTCTAACCAGCTTTTCGCTGCATAAATTATTCCTTGGATGATCTGACATGACAATCTTAACTCCCATTCTGCGCTACTGATGGTAACTTGCTTCCTATGCTGACCACCAGCCTGCAACCCAATGTGCTGGATGTACGCAACTACCAGAGGCACTTTAAAAACTAAGGATTCCTGGCTCCAGCCCAGGAGTGAATCAGGATCTTAAGGGAGTGGCCTGGGAGCTGCACTTTTGCAGACTGCCCATCCCTGCTGATTCTGTGATGGACCCAGTGGCTCTTGCCCTGAAGGGTGCATGAGGGCAAGCGCAGGGCTTGCTCAAACACAGAACACAGGTTGCTGGCGTCCAGCCCACAGCCTCTCATTCAGCAGGTCTGGGCTGGGGCGGGGAATGTGCGTTTCCACCCAGGGCTCAGCTGATGCTCATGGGCCATCCAGGAACCCGGCTTTCCAAGTCACTTACGTAGCTCATTTGGTGGACCCTGTAGCTGAGCTGAAGGTTAGTTTTTTTTTTTCTTCTTTGCCTTGTAGAAAAAAGCCCCACTAGATTAGAACACAGGAGACTCCTTTTCAAGTTAGATTCCTGCTACTTGTTAGATGCTTGGTGTTAGACAAATTAACCACTCCACACAGTTTATTTTGTAGCATAAAAATTAAAAAAGACAACACAAAGAAAGAGCTTTGGCACTGTACTTGACACTGGAGGCTGCCACTGAACATCTGTGTCCTCTGATGTCCTTACCAGATCCCATCCTACGAGCTACAGATGAGCTTGCCGAGTTCTAGAATGAGTTCCCAAAATTCACTGCACAAAATTTAAGTTTGATGAAACAACAAACAAAATGACTGTTTTTCCTAATGCACTATCACACAGCCACATTTTGAACACAGTATGTCCAGCGGGAATACGCTCAGCTTCCCAACTCACATTTTCCCATGGAAATAAAAATAGAAACGAGAGATTAAGTTTTTTGTTTAATTCTGATGAAGCTGAACTCAGTACCCAGGTAGGAAGCATTTTCCTAGCAGATTTATATTACAGTGTTTGGCTATTTCTTGTGACCTGAAAATCAAACAAATGAATTACAGACTTTCATAGTAGGAGTGACCCTGGACATCATCCACCTCACTGGCCTGGCCTCGAAGTGCTGCTAGAAACATCTCCAGTACATGGTGGTCCAGGTTTTTCTTGGAGAACCACAAACCTCATGTTCTCTTCAGATCACTGTTTAATCACTAGGTTGTTCCCTCTCTGAGCAAATAATCTTTATTTCTTTACCTCCTATGTTCCTTTGCTCCGTTTCTGCCCTCTACCGGGCCCATGTACGTCCAAGCTCTCGTCCACGTGGCAGCACTTATAGCACTGGAAACAGCACGGACATGCCCCTTGCCTCGCTGGGAAGCCTGAACTCTGTTTTCAACAATTCTTCCTGTCAGAATTTCCATGTATTTAACAGCGTTCCTCCCATGGATAAATATCCTTGAGGATAATTTTTTCCCTAAAATATATTATAATATGCTTGGGGTCACCATGTCTTAACACCAAGAAACACAGTGTAAATTGTAACAGCAGCGACCTTTTCCTTCCCCAAGTTTCAAAGAGTACAATGCTTCAGTCACACAAAACTGCACTGGAAAAATGGGTATTTTTCTGAGGAGGACACCAGGAGCAGGTGGCTCCAGACCATGAGCCCAGAGGGAAAATTCTATGTTCCCGATGGAATTACTAAAGATCTGAAAAAGAAAGCATATGTCTTACTTTCTACGAAACATTTCTGCGAATATGCAGCCGACACTCCAGAGATCCACGGGGGTGGCGTAGCTGGACTGGAGCAGGACTTCAGGAGCTCGGTACCACAGTGTGACAACCTGCAAAGGGCAAGCACATCTGCATGTTACTTGGCGACACAGCTGCTGGCCTCAATGACACCCAATCCTGAGTGGTGTAAGGACAAGATGCACTTCACAAAGAATGCCTAGAAATCACCTGGTGACACGACAATAAGCACAGTAGGACTCATCACTCATAAGCCAGGAAAAGACATCCTCCTTGCGTAAGATGGTAAAATGACAAGTTTCGGAATGCAAAGATCCCAAGCCCCCGACCTTACGGCAATTTTTTTCTTACAGGACTTAGAAGATAATACATGGAAATTAGATAATGGCAACAATTCCACCTTGCTTCCAAGGTCAGTATTACTGGAAAATCAAAGACTCCAGAGGCTGATGGATGGTGACTCCAGGGTCACCATCACCAGTCTCCAGAACACTGATGACAAGCCAAAACCATTCTTATCATGACACCTGGGGAATCAGAATAACCCCCTTCCTTGTTGCTCTTTTCAGGAAATAAACAATGGGAAAAACTTCAGCGAGAATGTATAACACAATATTCCTGCCCATGAAAACAGTCGTCCAGAGGAAGAGATTCCCCAACAGAAGGGGCATTCAGTGCAGAGTAACAGCTAACAGGTGAAACAAACATGACTGTGACCACCTCAGCCAGGCTGAGGCCTGAAGATGTTTTTTGTGAAAACTTCACATTTATGAAGTACACGGGACTGAACGCTTCCTTTTTTGGGTGGGGACAGAGAGGCAGATACTCTATGGATATCTGAAATTTGTCAGGTAAAAAATGCACATAAATCTACTACATAAGCATTTCATATTATTCAGATCCTTCTGCCTTTACTGACTTGTCTTCTTATGTTATTACCAACACCTATCTAAGTTTCCTAAAATTCACATTTATGTATTTGGTGCATTATTAGGTGTAGAAACCAAAAACGCTCCAATCAATCTCTTTCTCTTCTTGATGAGACACTGTTTCCTCCACCAAGGGACAGAGTTCATTCATTTTCCATTGACTCTCAGTTGGCCTTAATGACTTGCTTGACCTAGAGAATGTGGTAGAATCAATGTCTCAGGCTACAAGAGTGTGGTCTCAAGAACCCTTGTAACTTGGGCCTTTTCAAACGCTTGCTCTTGAGATGCTGCCTCTTGGGATGCAGTTGCCTTGCCATGAGAAGCCCACAAAAATGTTCTGGTCCACAGTCCCAGCTGAGCTGTCAGCTGAAAGTCATGTGGACGAGCCATCCTGGACAGTCAAAGCCAACTGATTCCCCAGATGAATGCAGCCCTGGCCACTGTCAAGCAGAGCAGAGCTGCTCAGCTGAGTCCAGTCAACTGATGAGAGCATAAACAATGAAATGGTGGTTAAACTTTGTGGTAGTCAGCAATATTATCAGCTACCTTCTTGATCTCATTTAACATGCTTTGCTTTGCATTTACCCACGGCTCAAATTTATTTAAGGGATATCTGTTGATATCAAATGGAAGAATCATGGTGATGTAATAATAGAAATAAAAAAATCCCCACAAACTAACAGAACAAGACTGATGGTCCTCCAGTTATCAGTAAGCTCCAGTATTTCTTTCTAGCCTTGGCTCCCACAATAATTTCACACTCTATGCATGTTAGTCACACACAGACACCACCATCAGTTTTCAACCTTGACCATGAATAGAATCTTTCTTGGGTTTTCAGAAAAACTTCGGTATCTGGACTTTATCCTGATCCCCCCACTGAGCTAGATCTCCATGTGTGGGCCACTTGTTTTTCTTTTCTTTAAAATTCCTCAGGAAACCTTAGGTCTGAGCGCCACTAGATTATACAATCATATATCATAGCTCCTGCTTCCATGCTTTTGTTTACACGGTTCTCCCAGGCTAGGAAACTCTTGTCTCTCTGCTCTGCACATGAAAATTCTACTTATTCTACAAGCCCAATGTGAAAACTATTACTTCTCTGAACTCACTACTAGCTCAAATTCATATCCCCTTCAATGGCTCATTCCTGAAAGTAAGACCTTGTTCCTTATCCGTAATATGTCAGTGTCCAGAACAAGTTTGTATCCATACAATAAAATTTTAACAAATCACAAAAGTAATAATTTTAAGACAATCATTCTTAGAAAAATAACTGGGAAAAATTCAGTGATCAATGATTCCCCAAAGAGAAAAAAGCATTTTTATTAAGGGGAATGTCTACTCATTTTTGGGCTCCAGTTTTTAGTTACATAATTTATCTCTGCTCTATTAATATTTCTAGCTGGAGAAACACTTCTTTGCTCTTCTGACACACAGTAAACAGAAGTGCAGGTGCTAACTGCCTATGTTTCAGCTGAGTGGGTTACAGTCACACAGACACTATGAAGTCACATTTGCCTTCTTACCTCATTTCAGAGTTTAATCCAAACATGGCATTATTTTAAGCTATTCTAAGACAAATGTGATTTCTAATTGGTTATTCATCCAAAAAAATTAAAGGGCTATCTTCATTTTTCATAATTTAGTATGTGATGCCAACACGATCATCAATGTTTAAAAAATAAAAATGAAAATAATATTATGTCTTAGAAGTTCCTTTCAATTTAAAATTTAGTGACCACTCAAAATACAAAATTAATTATCAAATACTTTTAAAAATACCTATTGATAATCACATGACCACTCTCCTTTATTTGGTAAATTAGTAAATTTTCTAATATTACAACATCCCTGAATTATTGCAATAATCACTGCTATCAGTGCATCTTTATGACACTTGAGAACTCTATTTGCTAATATTTATTTAAGATATTTACTCATTGATTAATATTGTCATAAGGGAGATGATAGTTTTGATAATTTTTCCACTTCAATATTACTATAACCTTGTATGTATCTGGTACAAACTTTCTATCTTTCTTATATTCTTGACTTCTATAACAACATAGAAATAATTAGTCCCTCGAAGGTAGAATTTACCCATGAAATTGTCTAGTTCTGAATCTTTGTTAGTAGTGTGTCCTTGTCAAACTTTTGAATTTCTTTAGTCTATTCAGGTTTCATTCTTTTTAAGTCAATTTTGATCAAGAGAAAAGATTTTCTGGGAAAACCCAAACTAGAGTTAAAACAAAAAACAAAACAAAACAAAACAAAAACTCATTGGTTTAAATTTCTTTCTTTTTTTTTTTCTTTTTTTTTGTGGAACCGGGGATTGAACTCAGGCCTTTGTGCTTGCCAGGGAAGCGCTTATTCCACTGAGCCATCTCCCCAGCCCCCAAGGTTTAAATTTCAATGCAGTGTTTCTTATACTTATTTTCATTGTTTTCCTTGGTTATACTGATTTTCTCTTTTTTAAATTTTTTTTCCCTTTGTATATCTGATGGGCTTATCAGAAGTTTAGCTGTATTATTTATTTTTAAAATTTCACACCGTGTTTTATTTCCACTTTGGGAAGGTTACTATTTTATTTTATGGTTTTTTAAATTTCCATTTTTATCCTCTTAAATTGCCCCCTTCTAGTTGAAATTTTACTTTCAATTTTCGTTAATAATAGAATATGTAATCTGTCTTTAATTTTCTCTTTACTACTCAAATGATAACCATTAAAAAACAAAAACAAAACCAAAAAAAAACCTAGTTCTAAGTTCCTGAGAACAAATTTTCCTAGCGGCAAAACTTAAATTCCTTAAAAAAAAATTATAATCTTGTGCCTGTAAAAACTCCTGATGGAAGACTGCCTAGAGCACTTAAGTCACACACAAGCAAAAATTTATTAATCCGTATTTGAGAGCTTTATAAAAGAGTGAACAGTACTGATAAAAATGTTTCCAGGTTTTAGTGCAAGAAGGACGGACAATTAAAAATAAAATTAATTTTTATTAAAAGCTCCTCTATACACTGAATAATTCTACTTGTACTTAAAAACACAGCATAACGGCAAATCTAAATTAAGAACATGTTATGGGAAACAATGAGTATAATACACAAAGACCAACATTTCGCAATCTGTGACAAAGGCATAATGCAGTTGTCTAGTAAGCAAAGATAACAATAGGAACTATGGACAGAGTTTGGTGGTTGGAGCCAGCTGGAACCAAAGCAAATACAATGTTTATTACAACCATTACATGTATGGACAGCCCCTAGAGGTACTGAATGGATTTGGCAACAGGAGGGGTAGCGGAAAGGGGGGAGGAGTTCAAGGATATTTACACAAGCAAATGTATCTGTTTAAACTGCTTTGATCTCAACTCACAATTTTCTGAAGCAGTTCAATAACAAAGTAAGATAAAGGCGAGCCAAGGCCAGCTCTGCCTGAAAATACATATCAGAGTAAACTGGGCTCACTTAATAATCTACTTAACAGTCTTTTATTCATGTACCCTTTCACCAAGGCCCTGAAAAAACTGTTGATCTGATTCAGCAGAGAAGCAGGGTGTGAATGCTGCGCTGGGCGCTGCCTTTTGCCGCTCCAGATGCTCTCTGCCCTGGAGGTGGACCTCTATCTGCCATATGCCTCCAGTTTCTTATTGAGTTTGGCCAATGGGAAGCTTTGGCAGTAGTTCAGAGAGAGGGAGAAGGGAAGGTCAAGTCCTTACTTAACTCCTTGATTTCCTCTAGCAAGTTGTCTCTAGCAGGATCCCTTGTCATCACACTGCCACGTCCACCTCAGGCAGTGTGCTTTCCTTTACTGTTTCCCTCTGGATTTCAGTAGCTGCTCCCTTTTGTCCCTTTGAGCCTGGGAATGCTAACAGCGTGGCTGCCACTGTGAGTCAAGGTAGGGCTCTGTCCTGAGTCCCCTACACCTACGTCTCTGTTAAGTCCTGTTTTAGACCTTGAATTACGTGATTATACTGAAAGTCATACAAAGTATTTCCTGTTGGGCACTCATTAACACCCAGGGTGGCCAGATGAAGACACTAGCACAGGTGAGGGTTTCTCCAACCCTCAGTTGTCTTGCACGCCAAAGGCGGACATCAGAATTGGGTGACCTGTCAGGTGCTCCGTTACCACTCCAAGAGTCACTCGGGAACATGGCA